GGACTGCAGAGGGACAGCTTGCTTCACCACGACTGGGAAAACTGCTCCAGCACCTGGAGCACCTCCTCCTCTCCTTCTTCACTGACATTGGTGTCTGCACTGTTGTTTCATATATTCTCACTCCTCTCTCTCTCTGCAAGTGCACAGAAGTTTTTCCTTGCTTCTCAAATACATTATCTCAGAGGCGTTACCACCATCATTGAGGGGCTTGGCCTTGGCCAGCAGTGGGTCCATCTTTAAAGCTGGCTGGCATTGGCTCTATCAGACCTAAGGGAAGCATCTAGCAGCTTCTTGCAGAAGACACCCCTACAGCCCTCCTGCTAACAAAACCTCATCACGCAAAGGCAATACAAAAAACCCACCTCTTTTTCAGAAACTGATCAGCAGGTTATAGGCCAACACAGACAGAGTTAGTACTCAGTAAGTCTTCTAGCAGGCAAGAAACCAGAATCGAAAGTCTGAAGTTAGCACTTGAGTAAGACCTTTAAAAGAGAATAAAAACTTCAGTTTTGTACTCTGTTGCCATGACTGCTCATGTGCTTTGCAATAACCACTATATAAAACCTTTAATTATTAAAAGCTCCCACCAAGTTCAGTTTGAAGAATTAGACCTCATTAGCTATATGTGGAGTGAGTCGGATGTGACATCTAGATCCACCATGCCCCAAATAATTCCTTCTCTTATTGGGCTGATACTCACTAAAAACCATGAAATACCAGCTTTAAAATGTATTAAATTATTCAGTTATTGGTATTGATGCAACTATTCCCTAACAGATTACACATATTTAGTGAAGATACTTTTATGTTTGTGGTACAAAGAAAACATCTCTATAAGGTGGCTACTGGGCAGCTTCTCTAACACTTTGCTATATGACAGTGCTTCTTCACTGCTTTGTAAAGTAGAAGTAACGGTGTCCAGGTAACTCCATATGTCGGAGGATTGAAGATGCATTTTAACTGAAACACTGTTTTCTTACTGTTTACTTCACTTATAAATCCAAAACAATTTTTTAAACATCTTAAAGAAAAATCTTATGCAACTAAAAGTGCATTTTCTGTGGGAATAAGCTCCTAGTACAGCATGAAGAACCTTTGTGGTTTACAACACAGTTAAAAATCATTCTGGAATTTCCGTATATGTGTTAAGTAGCACTATGTAACACTGTAGCCTTGCATCTGAAGATACATATCTTTCTACAAGCATTAAACCTCACACTATTGGAATTGATACCACATGACGAGACACTCACTCTAACATAGAATACACCAACATTATGTCATAATTAAATCAAGGAACTCGGTTGCACGTTATTGAATTAAAATTGGAGGAAGAAACCAGGGAGTAATATTTGTCTCAGAAGAAACACTTGAAAACACCCATGAGATCTTATAAAAATGCCAGAGAACAGGCAGCTGGTCCAAACGTTTGTTTTGTGATTGAACAACAGGATGTCACTAAGAGTATGCAGTTTTGTGTTCCAATAAATGGTTTCAAAAATAACAAGAGAGTGTTAGGCAAGTGGGTTCAGTAATCCCTTCTATGTTTGGATCTAAACAACAGTGAAATGAAACAAAAAAGATCATCAATAAACAACATAAAATCAGAACACAAACAAAAAATAAGCCACTTTTAATTAATTCAGTCTTAGAAATAGAAATCATACATGGTATTTGGCCATAAAAATCTATATGTACAGCACAAACATATTACAAAAAGTCACTTTTTGAAATTTTTTTTTAAACGTTGGCTCCCTTGAGAATTCAGAATTTATTTTCATGCTTACATTCTCTCTACAGTGTAGCGCACTCCAAAACACCCGTATTCTGAAGGTACATGAAGCACAAATGAGCATATCCAGCCACCAGCAGAATTAGGCAGCAGGTGAGGAGTGAAGTCTGAATCAATTTTAGACTTGGCTGCATCAAGTCTGCCCAAGCAACCCTTACCTTTTTTATAGAATATAGGACTATAATCTTGTAAAGCTCCAACAAAGAGACAGCCTGCTCTCACTTGAATAGCTTTCTTTTTCTTCCTGTCTTGATTTTCTTTGTAGATCACAGCTTCATTGCAATGTATTGGATAAGGACAATTGTTTAAAAGAAATCTGTTGCCTGAATATTTCCAATGACATATAAATTACAACCATATTTACTTCTGCTGCTACTTGTATGATTTCTTGTCTAAGATCAGTACATTTGATTTAATAATATAGTAAACAAAATATATCGTGTATAGATTAATTGATTTTGTGAAAGGCTAAGAGTGAATGCCTATGATCCACTTCTCAAAGTTACAGACATTAACATCATATGGCACCAGTTTCTCATCACACAGCTGCAAGCTGTCTTGTAGTTTTATCCCTTGAAGTTTCTAATCCACTCTAACAATGTGTATGCAAGACATACAAAAGTTTAAACATGGGAACACGTCCAGACTAAAACACGTTTATTCAGTTTTGACAGTCGGTTCACTGAAGACCAAAACTTTTCTAAAATTTTTCTTATTGTTATTTTTAGTTCAGAGAATGTTAATAGCTGCTCCTCAGGAACACTGCGTTGATCTGCAGTCAAGGGCAGTGGATCCAACCCAAGATCTAAATCTGTACTTTGAGTAGTCAATCCTGTTCCATAGGGTAAAAACCCCACCTAGTCACAACCCCTGCTGGGAAAGGCTGATGTGGAGCAGAGCTTGTGTTTCCACAGCTCCCTGCTCTTAGGAACCAGGTACATAGCACGGTCACATTTAGGGCAGTCTACAGAAAACAAAACAGATAAAGGAACGGAGCTCTAGAGAAGGAATCTGAAGGGCAGAGGGCTTCTAGACGTACCTGGGAGATTTCCTCCAGAGAGAAGAGTGACTGGAGCGAAGGTCAGCTCACCCACACTGGACTGGGCCAACAATTTGAACTTGTGAGGGAAGCGAGCATTGTGCTGGGCCAGTATTTCTAAAAATGGCAGAGACACTATGGACATTGAGACTGCATTCTGAGGAAATGCAAGGAAGCCAGTGTTAAGCCATGCATGGATACAGGGCACAACTTTTTACATAAGGGAAAGCACAATGGTGAAAATAAAAATAAAAATCTTCGGGCTGTGAGGTAACATTAACTTACCTGTACACACTAGCAACATTTATTTCAACATGTGTCTCTAAAGTACACAGATGCCCTGGAAACCATTCTGCTGACTTCAAGGAACATTCACATTCATAAAGAGTCAGAGTGGTTTGCTGGCCTTTTAGCAGCATGCTTTTAGCAGGTAATTCCACAACTACACAGCTGCTCTTTCCCACAGTGGTAATGCAAGTGTAAAAATTCTGTCCATTTGCACTGACAATAAACAACCCGACTCAAGTGGCTCTTCACAAGGCATTACCATCACCTAACCTTATTGTTACCTATGGTTAAAAAAATATTCACCTTATTTTTCAAATAGCTTCATGTAAATCAAAGTCATGAAAACAATTATAATGTGAAGAACCGCAATCTTCTAGACTATTCTGTCTGGACTGTTAGAATCTGTGCTTTTATTTCATGGGAAGCTAACCAAAACAAATTCCTTTGCTATTCTAACCTTTCTAATTAGATATAGTCCTGAAAGTTATCACATTCCTGGCAAGCAAAATGATAGTAATTTTCTAATTTAACAAAATTGGTTTGTAGTCTACATATATGAAAGCACAATATTCTAAATAATTTCATTACTACTTTAAAAAAATTCTGTTCTGAGACAGTGTAACTAGGCAAAAATAACTCATCTCTAATGTGAAGATGGAGTCAACTGAATCAGTTAAAAATATCATATCCCAGTAAGTGATACCATTACATATCCACTAAATAGCCTTTTCTGGCCTCCATGGAGTGCCATTTATCTCAAGTCATATTTAAAAAAAACCCAGTCTGTAATACTTGACTTTCAATTTGTATATAAATTACTCCACATTTCTCTTAACTTCAGATTGGAAGTTACTGAACACCTAATTTAACCCCTGTTGATTCTAGAGAGAAAAGTTGCTGCTTCACAGTTTTGGAGGAAAAGAGTAAAGCACCAAAAACTATGATTAGCATGCAAGATGAGAGTCATTGAAACGGAAACAAAAATATTAATGAGAACTGGTAGAAGCAGTAAAGTTTGACAGCATATATGAATTCCAAATTATCTAAAGCAAAACTCCAAAAGCTTGTGTAATATTGTAAAACTCATATCCTTCTCTCTAAAACTCTGTCTTTGTAATAAGGCATGCCTTCAGTACTTGTTGTTACACTATGAGTAGATTCTCTTTCGGTCAGAATACAGGGTGCAGCCAATTTGCACCCAAACCTGACTTCACTGAAGATCTATGCTTAACTGTAGGACAGAAATTAACTCTTTTTAGTTGTGAAAATCATTCTCTTTAGTATGACTCATTTTGTTCAGTATGTTTCATTACATTTAGACAGACCACAATGTATCTATGACTCCTAGAAAGAACAGCGAGAGGTAATGTCACAAAACAGGTTTTGTTTTGACAAAGAATACAAAGTCTTCTAAAGGTGCACTCAAGATCCCAGAAATTTTAATTCACTGTAAGATAAAATATTCTGTCTTCAGATGCTATGAGACTGTTTGGAAAAACATAAATAGGTTTTTTTTGTTTGTTTATTCATTTTCCCACCACCCCCTATATAACAGCATCTAGGACAGTACAGATATTAATGCAAGTCTAGGAAAATTGAACAACATTACTGTAGCTCTGGTCCTAGCATGGGCAATTATTGAAGTGTAAGAACTACAGCCATAGAACAGCAAAGTAACATGTGGCTAGCTTAGACTTTTCAATCAAAATTCCTGCAGCAAGGAAAAACACATCCTCTTTAGGATACTGATAAAGACTGTCAATTTTAAGAAGGTGAAAATCAGACTGTTAAATAAGGAAAACAATGTTTTATTTACATGTGTGCACTTATTCCACATCCTAAATTACATAAAGTAACAGCATAAAAAACTTTTACAATTATTTATAAGCATTCTGATTTTGAATGTGAATTCTCTTTCATTGGACTCTCCTCCCTAGAACAAAAGTTATCCCAATATGCAGAATCCTCAGGTGCAATTGGAATGCCAGATGCAACTAAATCCTCAAATGTCAATAATGTAAACTGTGGTTGGCTAGGCTCCATGGAATATTCCTAAGGAAAATACATATTAGCATTAAATGAATTAATAAATCTCCATTTTCTTTCTGAAGTATTCCCTGTCCAGTTTAAAGTACTCATTGCTTACCAAAGAAGAAAGAAAATATTCCAGTTGAGACCAATGTCACTGTCTCTAATTTAGGCTATATAGTAACTAACAGAAGCATGCAAGAGGCTACACAGAAAAAGTAACTTTTTCTTTGAAACTCAGTTCAGAAAACTGAAAAAAATGAGGTACAGAGAATGCTGCAAATAGAACAGAATTAGTGTTTAAGTTCAGAAAAAAAGGAAAAAAAACCCCCACCAACAAACAAATTGTACTTCATTCTCCAGCAGACATGTTTATCTGAAATGATAGTATGAGGATTTATTCCACTAGAGGTGTGCCTATTCATATTCTTTTTAATACCAGCAATCATTGGAGTCATGCACGCTTCTGTCAAACTCATAGAATCACAGAATCATTAAGGTTGGAAAAGTCCTCCAAGATCATCAAGGCCAACCGTCAACCCAACACCAGCCAACACCATGTCCCTAAGCACCATGTCCCTAAGCACCACATCTACACGTCTTTTAAATACCTCCAGAGATGGTGACTCAACCTCTTCCCTGGGCAGCCTGCTCCATTGCTTAACAACCGTTTCACAGAAGACATTCTTCCTAATGTCCAGTCTAAACCTGAGACCATTTCCTCTTGTCCTATCACTTGTTACTTGGGAGGAGACCAATACCAACACCTTGCTACAACCTCCTTTCAGGTCTTCCCTCTGTCTTCACGTCTCCAGACAGAAGGGCCCCAGTTCACTCAGCTGCTTCCATTAAGACCTGTGGTCTAGAGCTTTCCCCAGCTTTGTGCTGGTCCAACATGCTCCAAACACCTTATCCCAAGCAGATCTTTTAGTAGATCAAAGCCTTCTCAAGTCCAGGGTCGTGGGCCCTCCTCCCTGCGCCCAGGATCCCAAACTCCACCATCTCATGCAGCCAAGGCTGTCTTTGACCTTCACATCCCCAACAAGCTCCTCCTTGTTGGTGAGTAAAGGTCCAGCAGAGAACATTTTCTCAAGGCTTCTCTATCATTAGGAGTAGGAAATTGTCATCAATGGACTCCAGGACCCTCCTGGATTGCTTATGTCCTGTGTTGTCCCTCCAGCAGATACTGGAGAAGTCCCCCATGATGACCAGGGCCAATGAACATGAAGCTGCTCTCACATAAATGACAAATACCCCTCTGCATCTTCCCAGCCTATCTTTCCTAAAGAGACTGTATCCCTTGATCACAACACTGGAGCCATGACAGTCAACCTATCATGTGTCCACGATCCCAGCAAGACTGTAGCCCTTCAGTGGCACACAGATCTCTAACTCATCACATTTATTCCCCATCCTGGGTGTAGCAGCATACACCCCAGCAAGACGAGTTCCAGCAGAAGGTCTGTGGCATTTGTCCATAATGGTGCCTTCTAGGCACTTGCGTGCTAAGATGCAAGTGCTGGAGATGACCACACCTAAGGTCTATTTTGTTGATTTTGTTATCCCTTCCTGTCACATCAGTGAAGACAGGTCAGTAAATAGATAAAAGACAAAAAATGTCTATTCTCTGCTTCAGTGTTTGAGCAGTAAGCAACTGTTAGGGATAAATGGAGACAACAAAGCAGTTTGTGTTTGTTGTCCAACAGGGACTGAAAGCAAAAGTTAATTGAGCTGCCTGTCACTTCACAACCTCACACAAGTGACATGGTGTTAAGACACTCCTGTTTATCTGGCATTCTGGAGATAAGGCAAAGCTGCAGGAATTGTGCCTAGAGCCGTGCAAGTGACATCACAGACGCACAGCACGTATGAACTAAGCCTCGGAGCCGAGCAGATTGTTAACAGATCTAGGTTTGAACTTCAGCACATGTTTATCTGAAGACAAGTGTTCTCGGGCTGAATTCATCACAACTTCTGTGAAATTTAGCAAGTAATAGAAAAAAATATATTTTCTAGCCTACAGAGAAATTATAAAGAATTATAACTGCAGCCCTCTTTCATGGAGCCCTGCCTCAAGTAACTGTCTAGATCTAGGTAAGAGTGCAGGTAACTGTTCTATCGCTACAAGCATATGGCAATCACTAGCAGAAATTTTATTAAGATTCTTGACACTAGATTTTAAATGATAATAAAGTAACAATCGATCTTTCTTGTGAAAGAAAGGTACTTGCTATCAGGTTGGGAAAAAAGCTCACTGACAGTATGTGTTCTGCAGATAGGGCATAATGAGTTACTCCTATGACAGCAGAGAGAACAGAAACTAGCACTGACATCTGAAGCAATTGCATAATGTCTACACACTAATTTTTTTTTTAAACTAAGATGAAGAACACTTTTTCCTCTCAACACATCTAGTAATACATAAAATCCTTTTCACCAGTTCTGTCAGGAAGAGTGAAGGCCATTTTCATTTCCTCCACAGTCCTGTTAAGACTCCTGAAAAGGCCCAATGCAACAGTACAGAAATTTTCACTTCATTTCCGTATTGGGGAGTTACAGAACGCTCACTTGTCCTACTTAAAATGACCTTTTCCCAGTGAACTGAGTTAATGAAATTTAGGTCATCACAAATTTAGTCAGTGGACAATGCCTTTGAGACTTTTCTTGATTCAAAGACTTTTCATCTTAACTCTTGATACCATATCTATTCTTTCTATGATAATTTTAAGGCATATGACAGTGATGGTGAAGGTCAATACCTAAAAATCTTGGATTTCTGTAGAATATTTAGGTAAATGTCTTTAGAAATAATCACCTCTTTCTTTTTACCTCAAACTGACACTTATCAGTATTCCTGTAGGAAGGATGATATGCAGTCCCAATTGGCAACTTAAGTATGTCCTGCTAAACAAAAGACACATATTTTCTTAAAATACATTTGAGCATTGATTTACCACAGTAAATCCTCAACGGTAGTTTTTACCTCTTTTTTTTTTAGTGTAATGAATACTCTGTGCTATCCATGAACACAGACTCAGACCTTATAACCGTGACAGATGTGTGCACGACCAACTTCATCCTTCTAACCACTCCTATACTATTTTTTTTCCTAGTTCCTGGCAGAATCTTTTTATATAAACAACAGAAAACACCTAATCTATTTGCTTGTGAGCAATTAAAACACTATAGACAAACCTGGCAATTTGTCACACTTCCCTCTGCTGACTGTCTGGCTATTTTGGCTACAGCTTACCAGTCTTCCTCAACTTTGACTTTCATTGCTATTTTCATGATCCAGTTCTTTGTTAAATTACACAAAAAATCCTGAAAAGCTTTTAAGTAACTTTGTTGCTTCTCCGAACAGAGAGAGAACACATGGAATGAAGAATAACACTGCTGTTCTTCCCATCTGTTGGTTGTTGTTGCTTGTCTCAAGGGTTATCTTGTCATAATGGTGTTTGAGAGATGGATCTGCTTTGGGTTACATGCACTAACAGCTCCCCCTTAAAATCAGCTTTGTGAGGTGCTGTGCTAGTTTAGCAGTCCAGATCGGTTCACTGTCTCCATTTCCCTCCGTGAAAACCGTTTTTCCCACATGAGTACTAGCAGGCTGTGACAAAAATCACTTAATCTTCTCTTGAATGAACACACCGAATGCTGTAACACATCCCAGATTTTACATTATCTGTTGCTGTCCTCTGAAACCATTTGTCCTTCCCAGATCTTTCCTGAAATAAGCACCACAGAACTAGACGTAACAGTTCAGTGACAATCTGATTAATACTGTTCTTAAGATAAGTTTTCTCATTGGCCCTTCATCTGAGATAACACACTTTTAGCTACAGACTAAATTCAAGCGGTTCAAGTGTTCAAGACCTGAAAACATTTCGTAGTTTCTTACATTGGAATGCTTCTGTCCAAATGTCTCCTGTTTCCCAAGAGCCACCGCAACATGATGATGGTCATCTAACCGGGTTTCCTAGGGAAAAACGGCAATGTAAATGCATTTTCTTTACTCTGTTTCCAGCAAAGACTATATCAATGTTTAAAATATGGTTCAGAACAATAGCAGAACACAATTAACGTATTGCAAAATAATGACACTCAAAAGGCAACAGTCCTTTTTAGCAGTTGGAAAGCTCAAGGATGTGGGTATTTTAAAAATTAGCAGGACTGAACTGGTTAGTATAGGTTATTATCATCTCACCCGTTTGTAGATATTTATATTCAAGTTTGCGACCTTAGCATTCCTTTACTAGTCCCTTCTAAGTCATGTCATATAATCCATCTTAGCTATTTGTTTTCTAATGAGATTTTTGGGAGCTATTCTGAAAAAAACCCAATGTAAGTGCAAACTTAAATCAGTGGCTCTTTCAATCCTGGCTTCAGACAGCATGTAAGATCACAACTTCAAATTTCTGACAGGGAAGTCTGAGCACTGCTCCATGTAAATGTGAAACAATTTTCCTCAAAAAAATGTTTTTAGATATATAAGTGCATATTTAGTATTATAGTTTATCTATTTTGTAGTTTTGTTTAAAAGTGTTTTTCCTCTAGAAAAGCTAAGAATTTATCCGAAACAATTTCAGAAAAAACCCACACTTTTAGATAGTCTTTCTGAATAATGTCTATTCTATAGTGAAGTCATAATCCTGTTGTTTGGGGTTTTTTTTTAAATATATAAAGAGGGGGAAGGAGAATAATGTTCTTCCCATTTCTTTATCCAAATTTTTTTTACATAATTTCTACACACACTTTCCAAAATGGAAATCGAGAATAACAGGAACTTTACCTAGAAAAAATAACAATTTCACTATCTTGGGAAACACTGTACAGTGCACTATATTATAATATAAAGAAAGCATTGTGGTATCCTTCCATTTCCTCTGACAGGTTAGTAGCTGCCATTTTTTCCCCCATTTTCACCTAAGCAAAATGTATTTTCAAACAATGCTGTTAGTCTGCATTAGGCTTCTCCACAGTTCATCTACTATACAGGATTTTCCATGACTTCAGTTGCAAGGATATCGTTTCTATGATTCCCAAACAGCCCTGTGTATAGAAAAACCTGCCCAGATGCTCAGTTCAGATCTCCTCAACACAATTTGGCCAAGACAGAAGCTGTTCCAGTCACACGTGCCAGCTGCACAACTACAAGGCTGAGGGACTTCCCCGGCAAAGCTGTGGGTGTCTCGGCAGACAGGTGCTGGTGTGCGAGTTGAGCTGAGGTTTTACTTTGATCTCTTCAGCACCAAAGCTGTGCCTAGTTGACAGATTTAGCAGTGAACTTTGTCTTTTTTACTCACTTAAACACAAAGCATCAAGCTCATGTTGGTTTACCTTTTTGCAAAGCCCTAGGAAGAAAACAACTATTTCAATTCTGTCTAGATTAGGAGAAATATTTAACGCACATGACAAACACTAATAAATCTGCAGTATAAGTGGTATTTCCCACGACTGCAAGAGCTATAGGTACTATGAAGTATTTCACCAGATCTTCTATTCCTTTACTAGGTTACAGGATGAAAATAAGTCAAGCATAAAGAATGCTACCTCAAGTTTGATGAGTATAATCATCTGTATGACACACATTTCTATGACTTCTTCACAAATAAAAAAGACTGAAAATTAGATGTTTGATCAAGCGCTGCTGAACAATTCATATAGTTCTAGTGTGGCAGTGTTTTGGGTTCATTTATGTGGAAAAAAATACTATGTCCAATTTTTCATGACTTCGTTTTCCCCCTTTTTTCACCTTTTGCATGTCTAAGAGGTTAAAGACTGACGAGAACAGAGGATACAGCACATTCATCAGTGGCCTGTACCTGTAGTCAGAACTCTGCAAAACAGCTGCTACACCTTTAAGCTAAACACACAGAAATTTCTTTTTCTGAAGTGAACTTATCCTTCTTGTCTGTGCAACTGTAAACATAGTCTTTCACATATTGGTAAAAAAAATATTTTTTTTGTCAGCTACAAGCTACATTTAACAGGCAGCGACCATTCCCCTGCAGAGATCCTGCCCAACGGATAATGAATTCAGAAGGTTCCAACTCATTTACTTCATGTATCCTCTGTGATCACAAAAGAGTTTTCAGCATCTTACAATAAAACATAGCAAACTCTGCCCTCATCACATCTTTGCTGCTTCAGAGAAGTAGAAGTCTAGAACAAATACAGAAGGGAAGATCTTTCCTGGCCCCTAAGTGTGGCCAGCAAAAACCTTAAGGTATGGAGTTAATGAAACATACTGAAATCTTGAGAAACAGCTGAGGTAAAGGAGAAATTCTTTGTTTTGTCCAGATTTCTCTCTATAAACTGGAACACATACACTGGAGCAGTTTGGTTTGTTTTTTCTCTGCACAAACCCAAAGCATTACTAGAGCTGCTCAAGCTACAGACACACAGAGAATTTTAATAACCTCATTTCAAAGACTCAGCAAAATGATGTGTCTGGGATTCAAATCATTCTGGATTCACTCAACAACTGACAGCTGATGAGGAAACTGCACCTTCCCAGGCAGCAGAACTGATTGCAGTGTGAATCCATTTGGATTAGGTAGTCTTAGAAGTAAAAGTTTTCATTCTTGTTTATTCCTGACAATACAACAAAATTAAGTTCTTTCACTGAGGGTGAAAGACTCAGTTACAGTTGCACACCAACAACAATTGCTAAACATGTTGCAAACTGACCCAAGTAATCTTAGTCTGAAATTCATATTCTGGAAGTAATGTATTTGCACACAGAGACAATAAGGAAATATTTGCTGTGAAAAAAGGCAAACAATTATTTATGTAGCAGTGGTGATGACAAGGTGATTCTTAATCTCCAAGTGAGGATTAGGATAAATTGTGTGCTTCCTTTATAAAGCAGTTGTATCTAAAATCGAGGTAGGGACCAAAATAGAAGTGTCTTATGTCTCATTTAAGATTCTTCTCTAAAGTAGATTCCAATAAATCCTATCCAGCCATTCTTCCTGATTGACTGTACAAAACTGGGACTAATAAGGAAAGAGTCAAATACATTTAACATTTTCCAAATCAGTAATTAGAATTTTTCTCCACATATCAGATCTGTTATAGATATACAAATTTACATTTATCTCTTTAAATTATAAAACTTGTCATAATTGTTATCAACTACCTTCTTTTGCTTTTATTAACTAGTACCTCATTCTGTAAGTTTATTTCCTTCAAAGGAAGCATACGAGGCATACAGAATTACTCATTAGAATAATAATAATCATCATAAGCATTATCAGAATAATGACTCCATTCTAAATTAATGTCCTGACACAAATACTGTGTCAGCCTAGTCAACTTTTAATCCTTACTAAACAAATTAACTTTTTAATCTTGAGCAAACTGTGCGTTGCCTGTATGAATAAAGCATATTGAACACACATAGCAGACATATTTTAAATTTATGTTTTTAAATGAAGGGGTTTTTAAATATATTTTTTCTCCTATTCCTTCCAAAACAGTTGGAGGGAACCTGAGTAGCAATCTCTACAGTACTGTATGAAAGCAAGTGTCTAAAGCTAAACTGATCCATCAAGATCAAACACGAGGCTATATCTGAGCTACTGCCTTCTATCCAAACTGAAAAATACATGAGGAGTAGAGAAGGAGAAAGATACTTTGAACAAAACTAAACTCTAGGTAAAGGGACAGCAAACAGTCAATGACACAACAAGGTAGTTAATTTGGTATTTTCAATGAAATTAACAGAAAAAGAATTTTTTTAACGTTCACAGAAAATTCTCTCTCTAATACAACCAAGCTTAGCTGTTGTTGTGAAGAGTTACAGCGTGTCTGAGCAGCGTAAATTTTGATTTGCTCTAATTCACTAGTACTTCTCTTGACCTTTTTTCCATGACAGCATAAGGTGGTAGGTCTTTTTCTAGTCTTTATGCTTTTTAATTGCATTTTCACATTACATGGTACTTCTTGAAATAGATTTCAGAATATTTTCTGTAATTTAAATGGGTAAAATCTCCTTTACTTCTCACTTCTGTACTTGGTAAATTAGAGTCTCTTTAAAATTAAAATAAGACAATCCAAAATATATGACAGCTAGATTTTAAATAGCTTTTCTTGCTTTGATCATCTCCTGTTGTAAAGATATAGGCAGATTCGGAAAGTAGAAGTGAGGTAAATATGGGGAAATGGACCAGGCAGGCTCTTATGGACAAGAAGTAAGTAACCCAAAAGAGGTGAAGACACCTCCTGCATTTCAACCATGTAATATAAAGACTAATTAATGGGATTAGTCAATCACTAGTCCCATTCTAGACCAACAAATTATGAACTTCAAAATTTTAGACACTGTTCAGAAGTCCGGTCTAAACAAGCTTCAGTCAATTTCCTTTACGCCGCAGGATAAATTTCACTGAGTGCAAGAAATATACTCCAGGAACAGAAAAAAAAAAAAAAGACATTATGATGAATATATCTCCGGGATGTTTTTGCAATCATCAAAAAAACTTTAAAATGCTGTGGATTTACTCCCTAAGTTTTGATTTATGTATGATCAAAGGATAAAAGTATGAAGCTGCAATTGAAAAGAAAATTAGAAAAAAAAAAGTGCAACCATAGGGTTTTGAGACTATTTATCATTGTTGAAAAATACATTTGAATATTTTTACCTCAAATGTCCACTCCTCTTCTTGATCTCCATCCAGAAGCATTTTTGTCTCTTTATACACCTTCCCTATTTCCAGTTGCAATGGGCACACATTAAATTCAATTCTTTGCAAGTTAAAGCCAATTCCGACCCCAACAGCCTTTAAGAAGCTTTCCTTTAAGGCCTAAAACATAGAATAGATTTATTTTATTCTTACTCGCTGTTTTCAAACTGTTCTATAAACATTACTTCTGAGCAGATGCTGCAGACCAAGTAAACTTAAGACTTACACTACTGCAAATAGACATTAGCACTGTTAATACCTAGCCTAACTTGCTATATTGCAATGAACATGCAATCAGAATTACCTAGTGGCATATACAGGTATGAACCCTTTACCTTGTTTACCCTTATGGGTTTAAACATAGTCATAAATCTTTCTAAAAATGTTATTTGTACTATGTCTTTCAAAATTATTCTGACATTAAAAAAAACCAGTGAAATATAAACCCCATTAAAATATTTAACTATAAAAAGTACACAGTTTTACCGTAATGAAAATAATAACAAAATATATCAAAAGAGAATGCACAGGTTATAGCACTTCAGTCTTTAAAGAAGAAAAAAAGTATTACCCAGTGTCGATGAAACATATCCAGCTGCATCCATTCATTACTCATAGATGTGATTACATCCCACTCTGTTTCAGTAAACTGTCGCTTCATGATGCGAAAGAAATTTGGAATTGAGCTACTACCTATAAATTAGAAAGAGATATTTATAGATATTTTAATAGAGTAGTAATAATCAAATTAATCACCTCATGTTATTGCTCTAAAAAAACTCATAAGAAAAAAAATACTATGAACCAACTTTGCTCTACAATCGGAATTTATATAGCCTCAAACCAATGATGCTGATGATTGTTCAGGACATGGTATGAAAAAAAAACCCATGCTGATAGTAGAATTACTGCATTAAAAAGTGTGCAATGAAAATCATAAATACACTATGTATTTTCAGCATTCTCTTAAACAGAAAGTATTTAACCAATGCTGATTTTATGTATATAAAAAATATATATTCAGCCACAAAAGCAGCATATACAGTCTTTGACATCTGACAGCTTGATCTAGTAACATCTTATAAAACAGCATGCTGTTTGCCAGAATTCATCAAGCTTTTCTGCTCCCTGGCTCTGGATGCTGGGCTGCAAAAGAAACACTTTTTTTAAGCACATGTAGAAGTACAATCTCCCAAATTTATCACAGGCATATTAAGTCTTTTGGATTTATTCCGCAAGAAAAATGTGAGGAGGGAGATGACCATAATCACAGCAAGAAAGATCAATAAAAAACCACCATCAAACATTCAAATCCCTAGATTAAATTTAAACCTCCTCTAAAAATAAGCACAGCTGTGTAGCGCTGCAGCAGCTCTTCAGGGGCTACACCACTTTTACCCACTAGTCTAAATTTACTTTGCAGAAGACACCACAGACTGTGTGGTTATATTGATCAATGGCATTTCTATAATACACTCGAAGCCATGGACTTCATTAGTCATTTGGCTAATCACGTGTGGCCTCTGTCACTAATCAGCATACCACGCAATCTGTCCAACAGGGCTTACAGCTGGCTAAACAGACAATGGCAGAAAGCAATCGATTTTCTTTAGTAGGGATAATAAAAATCTGGATAGAGACAATTCCACATATTGAGACAAAATTTTTCATAGGTTATGAAATGTTCTTATTAAAAAGAAAATACTAGTTGTACTTAATCCAAAACATAGCCTGTCCTCCCAATACTACACTATTTTTAAGAATTCATCACTAAATAATTGCTTAACAAAGATGCATATTCTAACCTTAGCTCTACCACCAGATCTGTGAATGACTATGGGCGAGGAACTTTCCTTCTCTCACGTTCCTCGTCTTGAACCAGGGATAAAAGTATTAACCCCTCTCTATAAAGTGCTTATCTTCTAGACATTTAAACAATACATGAAACCAGGTATTGGCAGCAGTAGTAATTGATCTGAATGACCTAATGTCACTTAAAAACACATGTTCAGGTCTTCTGACAATTTCTAGGTCATATAGCAAAGTATAATCTGACATATGCATCACACAAGATGTGGCAGTGACATTTTAGAGATGCCCTCAACTACGTTTATGGACTAAAGTGAAGAAAACATCTTAAGACAGAATTTTTGTTGACAGCTGCCATAGTCAGCTAATGGAACAATATAGAACAATTTAAGGACAGAACTAACTTTCCTCTCTGGAGAAAAAGATGATACTGAGAAAGAAAAGCAACCACAATGTCAAGTATGTTTTGATGGATTATCAAGGCAAATGAAAGATGCATCTACTTAGCCAATTCAACTTCCCTTTCTTTGTTTTAAAGAAAAACAACCAAAAAATGGTTCAACTTAGGGAAAGGTTGTCTTTCATCCCTCTGAGCTTATATGGCCCATTTCATGTTGAAGTGACTGTAGATTATAGAAAACTTCACATCTTATCTGTCTGTGATTCTGAACATCCATATGCCAACAAACTCAAGAGCAGACACCACACAGCTGGGTTCACTCAGTGCAGAGCCCAGCACTCCTTTCCCAGTGTTCAGGGCCATTAAAAAAACCCAAACAAACACTTAAATGTTGAGCCAAAAAATTACCTGGGAATACAATTACGTGGAAAAATTTAATTGAAACATTCAACACTGCATTTAAATATTCTATCTTATAGCTTCTAAAGAATTGGAATTTAGATTCTAATTCCAGTAAATCCAAAATACTTACAGTAATCTTGTACATCTCAGTGGCAAAGTGAGATTCCTTTAACACACAGTACGTGTGTTTCAGAAAAAGATATTTACGTATGTAAATGACTTATTTAAATTGGTGAGCATCAGGAAATTGCATGCTTATCTGATTGGTCAAGCATCTGACTACATGGGGATTCATCACTGAAATAAATTCAATTTAGTGATTTTAGTAATATATGAGACGTAAGACATGTCTTCATGTGAGATTTCAAAAGTAAGTGGAGTTGGAAACAGAGAAAAATAGGAAGTTTGTTCCACAGATGACTTATGATTAATTGGAAAAGTTACATATCTCCACCAACTATTACAACTATTTGAAAGAGTCAATCACCTTTTGCTGTTTTTAAGAAAATAGAAATTGTAATGGGTGTAGATCTATGAAAATACTGGATAAAAGGTTTAAAAAAAAAGAGAGAAAAATGCTGCTTCAGATTCTATAGGAACTGAGAAAGTGCATTTCAGCAGATGAAAAACCTAAGCCAACGGCACGAAAGTTATTGTATTGGGTTGGCTCAGCCGGATTTT